CGTTCTGAGATACAAGTTGAATGGTGTGGACAGTGATATTTTTCAGTACTATGATGTACTGTGAAGAATCTGTTCATTTCAGTCCTAACAGCATTTTGTGCTGAAAATCAGCGTATTTTTTTCAATGAATAACTTATACACTCAGCTGAATGAGAGAGGTTTTTTTGTGGGGGGGGGAGGGGCAGTTGTGCAAATAATGGATAAGAACTGAGAGCTGAAAAGGTTAATTTAATGGCACACCTCTCTTAACAGGAGTCGTACAGAAAATTTAACAGAACAAATTTAAGACTGTAAGCAGTCTAAGGATACTCAGAGAATAGCATGTCTTTTAACCAGCTGCTGCAGATAAAACCGTTTCCAACTATCTTAAAACTTACAACTTCCTCTTTTTTCACCACATGCTTAGCGCATGCAGGAATAAAAAAAAAAAAAAACTCAATACATCACATCAGATCAAAAATGGACAAGTATTAAATTGGTGCCAAATAAAAAAAATGGGAGGAGAGGAAAGGAAGTAAGTTGGCGATCATTTGAATCTGTGAGTCCTCTAAGCCTCGAGGCCTAATTGGGGCCAGCTGGGAACATTTAATAATTGCTGTCAGTAGATCAAATTTAATTCTCTTCTTCACAGGGCTGCTGTAGGGTATAGAGAGACAAATTGTCATCAGAGATTTATATACGAACAAAGCTTTAATTAGGCTGATTAGGATGCTGGAAAAGTGAGATGAAGTAATCAGCGGACCATCTAACTATGCATTAAGGGTTAGGGTCCCACTTGGCTCCGCCTACATTTTTTTTCCCCAAGAAGAAGCAACATCCAGCATTTCCATTCCTGGGCAGATATGTCAGATTATTGTTGTTGTTGTTAGTTCTGTTGGCTACAGACTGAACCCCGAAGTTTAGAAGAACTTTTAAAAAAAATAACAATAATTAAATGCACCAGGTAGCGTGTAATTTGAAGCGTCTGAGACCTTTGGTATACAAGGACTCGTGAAAGGTTGTGTGAGCGTGTCACACCTGAGCTGTGTGAGGTGAGATAGCGGCTCAGCTTTCACCCTGCACATGCAGATGTGTCTGCTGGAGGACTGTGGGGGGGCGGAGCCACAGGGCTGTTAGAAACGGCCGTCGGCTGCAGCAGAGCGAGAAGAGCAACAGAGCTGATTAGCAGAGCTTCATCGTCGCTACCACTGCTGCCCCCATCCCTGCCATCGCCAACCCCACACCCCTCTCTTCTCAATCCTCGGCAGACCTTAACACTCCAGGTGTCTGGTCCTCCCAGCTGGAAAGTGTTTCTGACATATTAAATCATTCTGTTGATGAACAAGCACACTTACAATTCATCACATTTTTTTAATTATTATACAAACATTGTTAATTTCTTGGACGGGTGGCATTCAGCACATGATTCGTCCACATTTATGTTTTCTTGTTAATGGGACCTCTGCTGCTTCATCCAACAGCGATAGTTGTCGTCCTCTTTTATGAATAAAGTGATCTTTAGTTATCTAATAGCTGGGAAAGATTCAGCATGATCCACAAATTAATCCATACAGAAGATCTACCTGATCCCACCACAAATTATACAAAACGAGTGAAAAAGGTGATCACAGTATGAATTTGTGGTAGTGTCTTAGATTTTTATGCTTGCTACATCACGGCTACATCTCAGGCATCCTTTCAGAGGGGCAGACACAATATTTCACCTCCTTTTGTCTCCTGGAAGTTCTGTGGTTGGTCACGAAAAGATTGTGAACAATACAGCTTTGGCTGCTGTTCTCACGTGGTTGTCAGAGCAACCAATGAATGGGGCAATTGCTGCCAGTGACACACAAGAGGTGGTGACATCTCTTCTGGGTCCTTCACTCTTAAAAACAGCTGTCATCTAAATTTAATTAAAATAATCCTTTACTGCAATGTAAGCTATTGTTATATGTGTGTATTGATTCTGTTATTTGGATTTTGTTACATGGACACTAACACAGCTGTATCGTGCTTCATAAATTTTTTAAAAATCGGTAGATAGCCATGTGCTGCTTTTCAGTTTCCATTTTAAAAGTCACACAGCGTCCAGCATCTTGTTCTGCGCAGTTTTACTGGTTTACCACTGGTCACAGAAGGAGCAGGAAAAAGAAACTGTGGTTTCACCTCTGAAGCAGTGCCCTGTAACTCATAAATAAAAACTGTTTTTCCCTAATGCTTTAATGTAGCCTAGTACCTCAAAAGAGCTATTCACTGAATGTAGCCATACAGAAATGCATTTCATCTATAATTTCACACACCGGCCCATAAAGCCTTTAATTTTAATAAGGGGCATTTACTTCTTCAGATGCGTAGTTCTCTATACAGAAGAGTTGACAGGGACACTTTAATTTTGCTGTCATGGTCATGTTGTTGTTTTTTGTTATTTTCTTGTTTGCAGTGAACGTAACAGAGCACTTGTGTAATACGATGATTATCTGTGTACAGCTAACAGGTAATTGAAAAAGATAATGGGAAGGCAGCTTATTTTGAAGGTTTTTACAACCTCCGGGTCGTAACTACTGATGGACTTGCCTCTGAAGAGGTTAGCTGGCAGATCATCAGCACAAATAGACAAATCGGATAACAGCTTCAGTTCGGAGCAGGAAGTGGAGGAGTTCTGGGTCCCAGTTTGCCCACTCTGGGACACTTCAGGGAAGGAAGCACCTTTACATCTTTTATTGTTTGGAGCTGCTGATGTCACCTCCTTCCACAAACACGCTGTGCATGTTTCCTGCTATTCTGTCTGATGGGGGGAGCAAAGATTAAATGTGCAGGGGCTCGTTGACACTGGAACAGGCTTGTGCTTTGGTATCACGCTACCATTGGTGGCCATTGGAACTGAATGCTGGAGACTGGGACATTTCTGAATTGTACTGTTGTACTATGTACTATATTTCATAACTATGCATATTTTTTCACCAGATGGACAGTATAATATGATCACTATTTTTGCCAAATTCTTATATGAAATTTTTAAGTGTATTGCAGCCATTGCATTCCTCTCACCGCAGTAAAAAAATAAAAAACCATAAGGTAATTAAGGTACAGGAGTATTTTCCCACATTTTATGAGCAGACAAAGAACAATTGTAAGTTTCCGTGCCGTAAGTATCTCATTTAGACAGACTGGGTTAACATGTGCTAGACTTAAGAGCCCGTGACTGTAATGACATTAGACATACAAAGAGCCCCTACATGCCCTATTGGCTGTACCCTCCTTCCTTTGCTCAAAATATTCCCATAAGAGCTGTTCTGTGGAAAAAAAGTAAAATGCATGAAATGAGATGAATAGATAAGCATGTGGCAGAATAAGGGTAACTAGGAGAATCCAAGCTTGAAACAGTGTCTGGAATATATACTTATATAGAGATTGTCTGGAAACTATATTAACACTATTATTTATTCAAGGAAATTGGAATTTATTTGATAAGAGGGAGGGTTTATTTAGATCACCTGAAAAGTTTATTTACTGCCTGCAATATGACATTTTAAATCTCTATAAGCACATTTCCTATGAGGGTTGAAGGCATTGCCTTCAACATATGTTGTTACTAAATGTATTGCAGATGTGCTGAGAGAAGCCACACAGTAGGAGTAATGGCCCAGTAAAGTTTTAGGGAAACAAATAAAGTGTTTAAAAAATCATGCCACATTAATTTACTGTCTAGCTTATTTACATAAACATAAGGCAGGATTCAACATAAGACAAATTAATGTTCCTGATCAAAAATAATATAAATATGCATAATACTTTTATAATATGCTAGTGATTGTTAAACTAATGGCTTTAAAAGGAGGATTATTTTTTCATGAGGCTATCCGAGAATTCAAAGAGCCCAGCTGAACACTTACCCAAGTGCCTTCAACCAGCAGTATACTAACTGTGAGAAATATACATAAACAAACAAAAATCTCAAAGAAGTGAAATGATACTGAATCGTGCCTCATTCAGCTTCCCAGTCTAACATCTGAGAGCGATATACAGTGCCTCATTAGATCGCAAGCTTTTTTATTTTCTCCCTGAATCTGCAGGAGGAATAAAAGGCCTGATTAGCAGATGGAGGGGACAGCAGCAATGCTCTCGCCTTCCCAGGAGAGACCATATCCTTGTTTGACTCTTTTCTGAAACTCGTCTTCTCAGCCCCCTCTTCCCTCATGCAGAAGATGTGTGAAGTCCGTCCCATTCATACCACCTCCTTCCCCACCCTCCCAGACCTCCCATTGAATCAAGGCTTACCAGAATTAGCTGACAGTGGTATCAGGTTGACCTTCAGAAGGAAAGGAGATTTTATCCCTCTTTTTCCTCTCTCCCTCTCTACCTAAAATTTTGCCTGTGGACCAAAAGTCTTTTCAGTTTCTGTTCCTGCTGCTGCTACCGGGTAGCTGTTCCTAGCGAGGAAGTGGAAACACAACAAAAATCCTCTTTGGAACAATGTTCATTTATGATTATATACTGTAAAAAATATATGATGTTTTTGTTCTTTTTTAGACTAGAGCTTTTCCATTTTTGGTGTAGCAACTTTATCTGAAATCTTTTGAATTTCACTGTGTAAGATATAAAGTCGAGATGTGCCCAACGTTGTCACATCAGTAATTAATATGTCAGAATTTTCATTTACATGTGTTCATTTAACCTTCGTTCTTATCCCTAATACCAGATTAACATTGTTGTAGTTTTTAACATTTGTAGAAACAGCTCTTAGTACTCAGATTTAGGGTCTTATAACCATTGCTTCTTTTAAGGCCAATAGAGTTACTTCTGATGGTGTCAAACTTTAGTAAACAATTACTACCAAGGGAAACCGATGACAGCTCAATCTATCCTAAGTTACCACATAAAAATCCAAAACTAATCTGTAATATAATGACAATTAAATTAACACTGCTGTTCCATTATTGAACGTTGAAAGTTGCTGGTTTTGAGACACTGAATGTTTAGTTAACTGGATGGTTGTCTGTGTTTTTCCCCCTTTTCTTTAGACGTGGAAGCTGGAAATTGTGAATTGACTTGAGCAAGTACAGTAAAGAAAGTGTGTTCGAGGACAGCCTGAAAGAGTGAAAGAGGTAAATAAAGGAGGAGAGAAGAAAAGAAGGAAAGATGGGGAGAAAAAAGATTCAGATTACACGGATTATGGATGAACGCAACAGACAGGTAAGAAAATGGGGGAAATGGGGCTCTTGATTTCAGAAACCATGGACATAGTTGCTTGAAATTTCGGGAAATTGGATTTACTGTTGAAATCCACTCCACCATGAAAGCAGCAAAGTCATAGCACTTCCCACTGCCTTGTTTGTCACACAAGACAAGTCAGGCTCTCAGCAGTGGAATATTACTCTGGTGAAGAGGGGGCAGGTGGAAAAACACAAACAAATCAACCAACACAAAAGTGATAAAAAGCAATTGGATGTTGGGGCATTCCTTAAGTATAAGTCATGTCATTGTTGTTAACTACAGTAGGCTACATTTTGTTTTGTGATGCATTAATGTTTTCCAAAGAAGTGTCTGATGTCAGTTCCATTGCATCTGAAATGTATGCAATTACGAATACCAACACAATAATTTAAATACATTTTGTGATAATGATTCTGCTTTACTTTCATTTTCCAAGCTGTACACCAAAGTGTACAATTATTGCATTTATATGTTATATATATGTTAGATAGGAATGTTATTTTCACAATATCTAAGAAGAGCATTATTTATATATTTTAAATGGGGAAATAGCTTAAATACAATTAGTTTTTTGCTCCTGGAGAATTCTTACTTTGTACAAATATTAAAAAACTGTGTAAATCATAAAAAAAAAAATCCTTGCACAAGTATGACATAAAAGCTGAAAAATGTTTTTATATGATCGATTACTTATTTTGAATGTGAATAAACATTTGGGAATATTAATATGTCAAATGTTTAAATATTACTTAAAGTGTTGTGAGTAGAAAAAAAAGTAATATGAGGTCATTAAGAATGAATTCCTCAAAACAGCAATTCACCTCATCAATTCACAGAGTGGGTGGAAAACAATTGCTATATTTCTTCCTGTCTGATGAACAATTAAAAAATGTAGTTTGGATTGATGAATGAAAAGCAGATGTTGATGAGGTTGATGGCACCACTGTACACATACATTTAAGCTACAGTATATAGGTTTTGGAAATTATTTATTTTGTTGCAGTCTTTGCAGAACAAATATATATAGCCTCGTATGCTGCAGAAAACCTTAGCATATCTTGCTTCTATCATAGGGCAGGATATTGTGGCACATATATGAATCATTGTGAAAACCTAAAAAGTGTGACACTAAAATGTGCGGCAAATTTTGATCTGATAAAACAACTACTAAAATCTAAGATTTACAAAAAAATGTAACACCAATATATACATTTATGTGCTGCATTTCTCAAACATATGTTTTTATATCTATTTACAAAATACTGGTCATTGCTTTTTTCATTCTCAGTCCAGCAATGATCTGCTTTGAGCTGTGTTTAATATGCATTTATGCTATGGATTATTCCGACAGCAGCAGTCAGAATCCAGAGGTTTAGTAATATTGAGTAATTAGGACACATGTGCAATGCTGGCATACCATAAGAATTTTTTCTGCTAAATGTAAATACATTACAGCTAAATATTAAGTCTACATAACAAATGTTGAGTTATTGCAAAGGGGGCAGGGAGGGCGTGGGGGTGACTTATTTTGATTGGTATAGGAGTTGAATTTTGTCATCAATATTGATTTTATCTTTGGTATGCATTTGAAGACTCTTTAAAGAAAAGTTTATGTGTTTCTATCATAACATAGTATACATTCTGATAAGCATAGAGTACCCATAACCTAAACAGTGAATATATACAGTTTTGCTTTCCAGTCTATAAATTTATGAAACTGGACTTGAGATACAAATATCACTATCTGAAAATACTGACACAAACATTATGATTTGAGCCACCAGACAACAAAGAAAGAGGGAATAAAGAAAACCTATAAAGAAAACAAATCATTTGTAAGAATTACTGTAGTTCTTTGGATTATTGATATCTTGCTATTTTTTCACAGTTGCTATGTTTGAATTTACCAACTCAATGTAAATGTCTCAAAGTTTCACAATCATCAATGCTTTTTTCAATTCATATTATATATATGTAACTAACTCTAACAGTCTATATTTCACGGGTATTCTATGCTTATGGTATTTATTTTTATGCAGCTTTTTGTCATTAGCCCAATTCAAACAGTTACATACTGGGGTAAAAAAAAATCATCATTCCAGACAATGCTAATGTAATTTGTGGATGGGGAGGTTTACATGCTGGCAGAAATTTGGTGGTATCACTGCCTTGTGCACAGCAAATATAGAAGGTTTCTGTAAACATCTGAGTCTGGAGGCTTTTTATGATTCTGCCTATAAACCACATTTGGTTTGTTTGACTGTGTAGCCTGAAAAGTGGACAGGAACAAGCAGACCTTTCACCTTTATGAATTTGAAACATTTTAGATTAATTAAGCAACTTTTGACATTGACTGATCAATTTCAAGACAAAGAAATATTCCACCTAATATTTGAACAACAAACATTTGAATGATAGCTTGTATGCTAGTACAGAAAATATGTTTCATTTTCTGATGCAGACGTAGTACCACATTAGACATCCAAAAGTTTTCTGATGGTCCAGTTTATTTTTGTGTTGATTGCTGGCACTTTATAGGTCCCCATAATCGCACACCAGTTTATCTATTGACATTCCCAGGACACACCCTATTGTGGCAACCTTTCTGACAAACTTGTGGATGATGTTTTGAAATTCACTCCATTGTTTGCTCACATAGCAGTGTCAGACGAGGGCAGAGGGGCTGTCTTGTTGATCTAGGTGGATATCTGCAGACTCCTTCAACAACCTATAATGGAACTGTTATGCGTATATAGTGCAGGTCCTTGTTAGAATAATACTGCGCATCCTGTCATCCTGCCTTCCTCTTTCAGGGCTGAAAAACACAACTGCGGGCTCATGCTTACTGCTTTCCTAACAAGCCGCAAGACATTGTTTAGCACAGCGGTAAACACAGGATCTCTGGGTGAAGCTTCATGGATTCAGTTTATCACAGGTGGCGTAAAAGTTGGAAACTGACCTCCTCGTAAGTTATGTATGTAAAGCAAGAACAACAGCGTGATGTGTAACAGGCTTATAACAGGGAATACAAAGGTTTATAAAAGAATGAAGTCAATATAGATTATCTTGTATAGCCAGCACATGAACCCTATCTTCTGATGTTGGCTCACTGCTCAAAGGTATACAACCACTCAGCCCCCCCTGGCTACACCAGACATTCATCGTGTGGGGCAGGCACTCTAGACTCCCTCCCAACACTTCCACCGTGTACATGCATATACATTGGGCCTCCATGGTGTTGACCGGCTGCCCAGAACACACACAGGGCATCAGTGTGTGAGTCCTGGCTCATATCCTTATAGCCACTCAAAACTCTTTCCTAAGGCTATCACATGAAAGGCCCTCTATGCCATAAACACACTGACCATAGTTGGGATAAGCACACACCTGAAAACGGTTCCAAATTGGATCAGCAATGCATTGTTTGCATCCTGGCTCTTTCTTTTACAATCGGCTTGAATTTTCTTGGTTGTGTCTAATTTAACATAGTGACACGTCTGCTGCTTTAGCTCCGAAGGGTTCAGGAAGGTCAAGGACGGGTGAATGGGTAAATGCCTATGGCTGAATCATCCCTCGCATTAAGCAGTAATAGGGCATTACCAATGGTCCAAGCGTTTTACCAGAGCCTCCAGGAACCACATGCAGGGTGTGTTTTTAAACACATTCGCAAGTGAAGGCAGGACCATGCAAAAGAGAGCAAATTGATCTGTCTGTGACCACAGCAGCTCCAGTCAACAGGATTAGAGTGTGAACCAGTTCAGCTCAACTGTACAGCAGGAGAATAATGAGGCCCCTTGGGTATCTTATCACTTCTTCCATTTTTTTCCTGTAGTCACCCACAATTTCATGACTGTTACCCCTGAATGGCACAGTGTAATTTCAGGTGCTGTAATTCGCTGTCAGTAGCCTTACATTGGCTGGATTTATGCAGCTCAATTAAATATGTATTTGTGTTTTTATCTTAGAGGCTTGTATTGATTCTGTTCTTCATAGCTTAATTTTCCCCCTCACTTTAAACTGACTGCTATGCCTTCCTGTATTTTAACAGATGCAGGTTTTATCTCAGCATGCTGAAAAAAGTGTTATGTTGAGCAATCATATAGAAAGCACTTGCTGCAGGCACAAATAGCGTACTATAACACCCACGTCTTCAGCCGCTAAGTTTGGCACTGTTTAACTTGTCATTTTGAACTGAACCAGGAACATGTGAAGTAGTCAAGCTGTTATGCTTTGAGAAGTTTTCACTAATTTATTACATTTTGTAGTACATAATACATAGATTTACATTTTTCTTTGTTGCGGCTTATTGTCTGTATGGTTTTTTTCTCAGAAACAAGATACAAAGTCATATTTCCTTTCTGGTAGCGTAAAATGCAATGCAGACGTCTGAAAGCAACTTCAGTATATTTTTAAAAAATAAAGTGAAACAAAGGGCTCCTTGACGTTTACCTTAATCAGTCTTAGAACAATCTGAGGTACTACTTGAAGCAGTTGTGCACGAGTCGGTCCCCAAACCTCTGAGACAATGGGTTAGTGTTCCACACAGAAGCACACACAGGCCTGAAGCACATAAGGGCTCTTGTTGTCCTTATTTCTCTCTAGAGGACCCCAAGGGAATGCGACTAGGAGGCGGGAAGCAGAAACGAAGCCATTGTGATAGGGAAGCAGTCAAGTTCTTCCTGTTATGAGAGGAAATGCATACAGATGTGCTATCTGACCCCTTGCATGTCAGGGAATGTGCTGTTGACATTTTTCTGCTTTTCCTTAGTCTCACTTTTATGTGTGGAGGTTTGACTTTTAAGCAACCTTATAAATTTAGTTATCGTTTGATTAAGAAACCACTTGCAATGAAAGGCAAATGAAGCTGACCTCAAATAAGCCACTATTTGTTGTAGGTGTGAAAATCAAGATAATTTCTAGGATGACAAACACATTGTACATTTAAGTTAGACAAAACAGCAGTACTAACAATGATATGCCCAAGTTATTGGTGCTAAAACAGCCCCCATTGATTAATTCTTTCACTTTAGGCCTAAGTCACACAACATCAATCAGAAACATAAAAGTAAATGTAGCTAGTTTAAAAAGCAAGGCCTGTATTTAAGAGAAACAGGAAACTACACTATATGGACAAAAGCATTGGGACACACCTTTTAATCACTGAATTTGGGTTTTTCATTCACCTAATCACGCAGTCAAGTTTACAAACAATTGTGAAAAGAATGGGTCATTTTGAAGAGTTCAGTAAATTCAAACGTAGTACTGTCACAGGATGCCACCTTTGTAATAAGTCGGTTCGTGAAATTTCTTCCCTGCTAGATATTCCACGGTCAACTGTGGTATTATTGCAAAGTGGAAGCATTTAAGAACAACAGAAATTCAGCCATGAAGTGGCAGACCACATAAAGTAACAGAGCGAGGTCGCCAAGTACTGAGCCACGTAATGTGTAAAAGTCACCAGCGCTCTGTTTACTCAATAACTGCAGAGTTCCAAACTTCCTCTGGCATTAACCCCAGCACAAGAACTGTGCACTGGGATCTTCATGGAATGGGCTCCCATGGCCGAGCAGCTGGATGCACGCCTCACATCACCAAGTGCAATGCCAAGCGTTGGATGGAATGGTGTAAAGCACCCTGTCACTGGACTCTAGAGTAGTGGAAACATGTTCTGTGAAGTGACAAATCACGCTTCTCTGTTTGGCAGTCTGATGGACAAGTCTGGGTTTGGTAGATGCCAAGAGAATGTTACCTGCCTGACTGCATTGTGCCAACTGCAAAGTTTGGTGGAGGAAAGATAATGGTATGGGGTTGTTTTTCAGGGGTTGGGCTAGACCGCCTAGTTCCAGTGAAGGGAACTCTTAATGCCATACCAAGACATTTTGGACAATTCTATGCCTCCAAATTTGTGGGAACAGTTTGTGGAACGCCATTTTCTGTTCCAGCATGACTGTGCCCCAGTGCACAAATCAAGGTCCATACAGACAAGGTTGGGTGAGTTTGGTGTGGAAGAACCTGACTAACCTTCACAAAGCCCTGACCTCAACCCTATCAAAGCGGGCCAGGCCTTCACATCCACCATCAGTGCCTGATCTCACAAATGCTCTTCTGGACGAATGGGGAAAAATTCCCACAAACACACTCCAAAATTGTGTGGAAAACCTTCCTAGACGAGTGGCAGCTGTTACAGCTGAAAAGCAAGTACAGACTCCAAATTGATACCTATGGATTTAGAATGGGACGCCATAAAAGTTCCTGTAGGTGTAATGGCCAGATGTCCCAATACTTTTGTTCATATGGTGTATCTATGGTCTTTACTCATGAAGATGCAAAGGTTCACTGTGAGGATTTGTTTTTTTTTGTTTGTTCTAGACCACCACTGTGGTGAATGTGATCTAACTGCCAATTTCCTTTAATTAGCTCATTCTCCTTGGAACAGAACAGGCAGAAGTAAATGCTAACGATGCATTTTAGCTAAAGCAAAAAACTAATCCAACAAACCGGTGATAGTGGTTTAGCACTGCAGATCATAACGTTAGAAACATCACTTAACTGCCCTCTAGATCTTCATGATTCTCTCGGTGGTTGAAACAAGTGTGAAGCCTGAATGCCATAACCTGATAAGTCAAATGCAGTGTTGAAGTTCTTCTGAGGGAAACAGTAAAATGAATTTATTTTGTTGGACTTTGTATTTGTAAAGCTTATAAGTACTGAATCAGAAATGGTCAGATCCGTAATACTGTGTTCCATTGCTTTGTTTTTATTTATCATTATATATGAACATTCTTTGTAAAAAGATAGTCGTATATAACATAAAATACAGCCATATGTGTCAGTGTCACATTATCTTCTAAATCAGAAACCAATAGATGTGCATATGTTATTTATGTAGATCGGTGTGTATGACAGGGTGCGAGAGGTATTTCTGTTGTTTCTGTTGGCAATCACTGCTGTGTGAGTACGAAAAAGTCTTGTTATCTGACTTTGTGCCCTGCTTTTGTGTTGTTATTTTGGCTTTTTTACGTATTTTGACAGCATATTGAATGTGATTTATTTGTTTAGGTCTATATCTACTGTGAGTGTGGTTCTATGTATCAGATCTTTCCTGTATTAAATGGCAAGAGACAAAGAGAAAAAATATGTTTCTGCTTTGGTTTTTTTAGCCATTTGCATGTCTATGTTTTGTTTCTAGGTATGCTTGCGTCTACATGTTTATGCTAAATGTCTGTGCTTGTGCATGCATGCAGATTTGTGTATATGTACATGCTTACATGTATGCATTCATGCAGATTTGTGCATATGTACTTGCGTGTTTGCACACATGCAGATTTGTGTATTTTTACATGTTTGCATGCATGCATGCATTCATATTTGTGTACATGTTCATGTTTGTGTGTAAACACGTTTGTCTTTCTGTGATGCATATGCTTGTTTGTGCATGTTTCTATGTGCAAGTATACATCTTCGTGCGCACATGTATGTTAGTCATTTGGCGTTACTCTGTGTGCATTTTATGCTTTTCCCTGTGTGAGGAGTGAGACTACATGGACACAGTTTTTGAAGGTTCTCTTTCAGTGAGTATCTGAGCAGTCCACTGACTTCTTGGGCTGGAAAGTGGCATTTCTCCCTGCATGACTACCTGAGCTTCAAAGGGAAACCAGGCCAGCAAGGGAGGCTGTAGAATTAGAACTGCAAGAACAGCTTATAAAAAAAGGGGTAAAGAATAAAAGGAAGCTGTAGCGTTAGCGTTCTATGCAGGGTGCTGTTTATTTGCTTACATAAAGTGATAAAGTACTTCATCACCTCATGTGCGGCCTTACATTTTCACTATACTCTTAGACAAGGCAGCAGACCTGCCAACCTTCTGGTTCTCTTGCTTATTGCTCCACCAAAAATAATTGACTTTTTTTTTTCTTTATTTTTGAAATAATCATATTGTCCGTATATTTTTTGTTTGCATATACAGCATACTGTAACAAAAGTAGACCCTAGTTCAAGGCATTATGACTTGTTAGAAAGAAAAGTGATGTAGAAATTCAGAAAACAAAGTGTTTCAGTATATGAGAGTATTAATATATCTTTACCGAACCATAAACAAGGTTTATATAACACTATCCATATGTTAGTTATTGCTGTATTTTGCTGTTAGTTTTCAAACATGAAAAGAACCGTTAGTTATTATTATATTTATTTTTCCCATGACTGACATAATACTGTAGCAATAGACAGCAGGTGAAGGAATTTGTTTCGTGCTGCAATTTACAATTGTATGTACTGCAGTGAATTTGACCAAGGTTTAAGTCTGGTATTGACCAGTGCTCACTAGATATTTTACTTTGATCTTCTATGCAAATTTTGGAGTTAAGTACAGTGATCATCAGAGATATATTTGTGCTCTTTCAGCTCATTGATATGGATTTGCCTCTGGGTTTCTATTGATAAGCTGGTCGATCTTCTCTTATGATGAATTTTATGCAGACAATTCTGTCTTCAGTGAGTTTGTTACCTCTTGGTATGCCAAGACTGAGGTGTCACATTTGAAACGGATGTGCTTTTCTAACTTGAAATGCAAAATGCTATTTTATGGAAAATATTCAGCTCCTAGGGTATATTGATGGGCTGTACAGTTTCTGTGGGATAAGACAAGTGTCCCCATAATGCATGAATTGTTACAAGTTTGTATGGAAGCCCCTGTTTATTTTTTAGACACTGGAGGTTTCTAATTTAATTTTTGAATACATTAAAAAAATGTGGTAACACTATAAATGAAAGAATTGCTCCCCTGGGATCAATAGAGCATACCATATGTTATCTTATGTTACCTTATGTTATTTATTAAGAATCGATACTTCCAATAATACCAATACTAGTAATTACAAGTATATCACATCAGATTTCCCACTGCAAACTTCTTAATATTCTTTGGGAGGAAATATTTGACCTAAATCACAAACTTATATTTAACGCATGAACAAATAGATTACAAATATATATAAAAAATATAAAACAAAAATAAATAACAAACCTAAAGATAGATGTTTAAATTAGTGCATGGATGTAATACAAACAGGAATACTACTGTATGTTTGAAATATTTTTGTTTGCAATTTTATGATATGAAGTATTTTTACAAAATAGTGTTGTGTCCTCCATCTTTTTCAGGTGACGTTTACAAAAAGGAAGTTTGGACTGATGAAGAAGGCCTATGAGCTGAGTGTCTTATGTGACTGTGAGATCGCCCTTATCATCTTCAACAGCACTAACAAACTGTTCCAGTATGCCAGCACTGACATGGACAAAGTGCTACTGAAATACACTGAGTACAATGAGCCACACGAGAGTCGAACAAACTCAGACATCGTTGAGGTAAGGTCATCTTTAAACCATCATGTCTACAGAATGTTAGTACTCAAATACAGAACACATTTTTACTTAATAAATATTTTCTAAATACTCCAAAAGCAACAGAAGTTGGTTTGCTGGTGAATGTCTTAAGCAAACATGGAAGACTTTGGTTACAATGTCTGCAAGTAAACTATGAAATCACTCAGTAAGAATGGTGTAAGACTTTTCACATTTTTGACTGTGATCACTTTGTGTTGTCCTTATTTGTTCCTATGACACATGGAGATATGCAATGCTTTCTTTTAATTGTATGTCAAGTGGTTCATTTCATGGACTCGCGAATAAGCAGGGTTCATGGGATGTTAAATGACAGTGGCAGGTGAAGCAAATATCCGGCAGGATCCTTAAGTGTCAGATGACCCTGTTATGCAACAGGCTTTGACAGACGGGGGTGTCCTGTAATGCGAGGTGGTCTGCTGAGGGGCTTAACTTCTCAAAGGGTCAAGGACACTTAAGTGGAAAGTCTTTTTTTAAACATCTGACACTACGAAAAATCAGAGAGCAGATTATGTAAAAGCCGTGTAAGAGTAATTTTTAAATATCATTTTGCTAATGCAAAAAATACTTACTGCCTAAAGGGTGAAAAATTGGCATCGTATTAGAAGATCCTCTATCATGTACATATGTTTATTCATAAGTGTTAATATATTGCATTTATTAGAATCAATAATTCCAAAATGTCTACAAAGTTTTGATGGTTTAACATCTATCTTTTCAACTTCTTCTCCTGGTCTGGGTTGCAGGCTTCATGGTTTACGGTTTTTAAAATATATATCTTGTCCGTCTCTGTACTACTTGTCAGCAACTGGTGGAGGGATCGTTTGTCTCATGACACCAGCACATTTCTATATATGGGTTACTGTTTATGTGCATGGAGGAGAAATGACTGGGCGACAAATTACTGTATGTGGTGACTCCTATATATACACACAGACATAGATTGCTTGTGAAAGAGGAACAGTGGTTCTAATTTTTCAGTCATTTTTAAAATATTTTTTATTTGGTGCGTGTCCATAAATAGCAGCGCTTCATATTAGCTGGAAAGGCTTCACCTTTCCTAGAAACATCAATGTGGAAAAACTAAATTATAGTCAGGGGTCGAGTGTTTAATAGTTATGAAAAATGACACGTAAGCAAACGATTTCATACTTTCTTGCTCCTCAAGCAGGGCTCATTGACACTTTTTTGCCCTAGTGAAATATATCTAATTAACTATAAGGGGAACAAAATTGTTAGCCGCCTGAACATGCGCTACTCTTTGTTTTCGATGTGGTTTATGAAAAAACCTCTTGCTTTCTGACTTGATTACAGCAGCACCATACTCCCGAGCATCCATTTTGAAAGAATGTTTAAATCTCATCAATCTGTCACACTTACGTATCACATCTCCAGGTGCTGAGTTGTGCTGAATCACCAAGCCAATGGTTTCAACCACACCTCAGAAAAAGCTGACCCGTTGTGTGTTCAGGAGCTGTACTGCTTCCTGTCTTTCACAGTGTCGGTAACACTGCCCAGTTTATCTAGAAGACTGATGGAGGCACAGTGAGTGAAGGAGGGGCAGGCCGCGCTGTGCGGTGCGTGGGCAGCTGGGGAAGTGCCCCGCTGCATTAGCAGTAAAGCTCTATGCAATTAGCATGTCTTTGGTTGATAATTAGCATTGTCGGCAGAGTGACACATGATGGCTGCTGAGGCTCTCTGGATTGTTTATGGAGGGCTAGAGACGGTTTTCTTCTCCAGATCTGTCTCAGAATGCTGATCCTTCAGAAATCTGGGTTGGGTTGGAGTTAGTCTTTATCTCGTATCTGTCTGGTAAGCTCATTCGTTACATGTATCCACAGGTGAATTACAATAGCAGAATAGGAATCCTGAAAAATTGTTACTAAATTTGCACATATATTCTTTTTCATTCGTATTATAGGGAATTGGTCATTATTCGATTTCTTGCACAAAAAATATCTACAAAGTCTTTTTCCGATGTCACCAACGGCATGCACTGCATCTGTCAGTTTGCCGTTTTAAATCATCATTGTTATATTTTTTTATTCACATTTAGGGACCCGCATTTTCAGTTTCTAATATTCATCTTAGCATGAATCTTATGATGTATAAGCAGGGTAATCTCTATAAAGAGTTGATCCATATGGATGCACATGTTTTCTCAAATAGAATTTGAGTGATGTTATAGCTACCACAATAAACACAAAGACCAACCCACTGAATTACCAAATGCTGGTTGAATTCCCCTTTAAGGAATCTGCTTAAAACAAACAGAAGGACACACCCAGCATTCGGTGTGCAACAAACTGTGATGTGGCATTTCTGGCTACATTTCTCCCTGTGAGGATATGGCATTTCTCACCACAGGGCATAGGCACCATGCAGGCGCCTGACACATCCTCAGGAGGTACTTATGCAGTCGCAAGTTGAGAACCACCAAAGTACCTCTGGTTTCAGGGAGATAATAATGTTCCTTGTGCCACTCCTGGCTATTGGGATCTGTTTGGAATGAGCACCTTAGCTTGCTAATCTACTAGGAAGTCCACGTTCTAATTATATGTATATTGACATGACCTTAGTGAGCGCATGCAACTGCGATATGCACATGGAAGTAGGCATTCTGCTTGTTTTGTTTTTGAATGTCAAGATTGGTCCTCTCCATAGAAGCACTCCAGCATTCAGCTTCCCCGAGACTCTCATTAAAAACATCCTACACTGTAGCAGCAGACCTGAGACAAGAGGTTCAGATAATTAAAGCTAAATCTCGAAATTCAATACATTTTTGAATCTTTATAAAATCGCTTTTTTTTTTTCCTGGTCCCATTGTAATGCATGTCTGTGGCTGACAGACTTGTCTTATTGGGTAATTTTGGCTAAAGATAAAGAAGAAACAAGTCCGTAAATTGTTCTTTATTCAGCGCTAGGTGCTGTATTTCCTCAACACGTGAATAGCATTAGTGACACAATGAGAGAGTGTAACTGCTCCAGAATGTCTCGACCGTGTATTTTTGCCTTTCTATTCTTATGCAGAATAGATAAGATTTAAGATATTTATTTCTTATATGGTTTTATATTTTACTATATGTGCGGGGGCACCACTAGAGATTTTGGAGCCCATATCATATTGGGCCCCCAGCCCAGAAAAATCCAACTATGTTCCAAATTTTTTTAGACCTCCTGTTACTCAGGGGCTTTTGAAATCATCCTAACCACCCCCAGCACCCCTGTATATGCGCAGCGGTTAGCACTATTGCCTGGCACCTCTGGGACCAGGATCTGAGTCTCTGCCATGGCTCCTGGTGTGTGGAGCTTGCATGGTCTCCCTCTGTCGTCGTGGGGTTTCCTCCAGGTGCTCTGCTTTCCACCCACAGTCTAAAAACATGCAGAGGTTAATTGAAGTTACCAATTTGCCTGTAGGTATGCATGTATGAGTGAAAGGTGTGTGAGTGTGCCCTGTGATGGGCTGGTGCTCTGTGATGGGCTGGTGCCCTGTGATGGGCTGGTGCCCTGTGATGGGCTGGTGCTTCCTGGCCTTGTGTCCATAGATCCCTGCAACCCTGAACAAGATACGTGGTTGCAGAAAATTGATGGATTTACATATATATGTGTTAATCATTAGACCTATCAATCAGTGTAATAGCAGAAGTGAATTTTTACATTTGATGAAGTCGTAATTCACAACAATATATGTGCTTGTTTTGTGTGTAGACTGTGTGCTGTGTAGCATGGTATTCCAAGCGACTCTTGGGCAGGGAAGTTACCCATGTGCAGTGGCATCATTAGATAAGATTTGGGCATGGTGTGCAGGTGGCAGTTCTGTGGCTCACATGGATGCAGCCCCCAGTGCAGTGTACTGAAAGAAACCCTGCAATCCCATTTGCCCTGATTAGCTTAATCGCAATATTCTCCCTTTAATCTTAAATAGCAACAGGACGAGGCAGCCTCCTTTCTTGTCTCCAACTGGGAACATCTGAATGAGGGGTAGAAAGGAAATTTGGGTAGGAGGGTAGAAGTTGTTAATTTTTTTCAAAGTTTGCACTGTAAATGACGATCTGCTTGGTTAATGAGGCTGTGAAATGCTATGACGGATGTGTACGCTTCAGCGATTGGATCCATGCTGAAACGTGCAAGGAGAAATGGATGATTCCATTCTTGTGGCTAAAATTAATTTTAAAATTGGTGAAATAGGTGTTTCATTTTCAAATTTATGAATAGACAAAATAGACGAGGAATTCAGACTTTTGCCCGTTTTTATTTCTTAATAGTTGAATTCAAGCAAGTTGGTTATCTCCTTTTTCTGAAATTGTAACATTACTAATTTAATAGCAATTTTAAGGGACAGAAAAAAATGTTATTCATTAATATAGGGAATTTAACCGCTATAGACTGTACATCCTGAGGTGTACTCTCTTTGTTTTGCAGTACATGTGGAGTAACCGTGTCTGTGGTAATAGTAGATTTTTCTCTAGGGCTGTTGGCTCAGAGCAGGCCTGAGGGAGATCCTGCGCTTAATTATTGCAAGTCAGTCTGATCCTACTGTACAAGCTATGCTCACACATTACGTTGCCAAAGATCATAAATGCGTAAAGTAAAAGAGCACAAATGTTGTTACTTGGAAGGAAAATTGCCACGTTATTAATGTACAATGTATCCATCCTTGTAAAATCTTGCATCGTTATTTTCTCATTCACATTTATGTTTTTTTCTTTCTTTTCTCTACATAGTCCAGAGTTTCTGATGAAGCACAACTTTAAACTGTGTGCCAGTGAGCTGGATTATTTATGAAATTACGTTTCTCTTTTTTTCCATTCTTTTCACATTAACAGCAGATGAAATGCCTCAGTGGGTGTGTTAGGGGCTTGGGCCCCACCTCCCTTTGTGTATTTGGCATTCTTTCCTAATAAATGCCTTAAAACTGCTAGTTGTCTAAAAATAGAAACCGGCAGAGCTAAAAATAGTTCTTGGCTCGAAGTTGTGCCAAGAAAAAGGAGAAGAATAGGAGTGGAACACCAGTCATGAGTAACCGTGCTCAGCTCATTCTGCTCCTTCTGAGCCAGTGATGAACTGCCTGGAGCTGGCAAAGGAACGAGGCTGGCCTTCCATGCTGCCGGTCGCCAGTAAACATCTGATCGCATGGATAAAACATTTAACTGTTGCTTACTTGCGCAAAAATTTCTCCTTCAAGTGAAAAAGGGAAACATTAAAAACAGATTTATTGATATGTTTGTATGCTTGTTGGGTGTCCAGCTGATCGGTGTGAGGAGAGGAAGGAAATGAAGGGGGGCCTGGAATGGATACTCATCTGTTTTGTTTAGCAGTTGGGCCTCAATCCCCTTCTGGTCATTAGGATTATGGATAAAACCACAAAGAAATATATAAAGCTGGAAATAAATATTACTAAATAAAAAGATGGAACATTCACTGCAGGGAATGTGTGACCGAATGCATAAAACAAAGACAGATAGCACAACTTATTTTTTTCACCTTATTTAAAACTTGTAAAATTGTATCTTACTTATTGTGAGGGGGACCTTAACGAAATCCATTATAATGTTCCTTCTGTCTGTAAATATAAATAACAATACTTTTGTATGCAGTACTTTTATTCATCCCCATGGGGCTATTGCGTCATGCATCCCAACTTCCTCTCCATGAAAGATACAGACACACAAGTTTATACAGGCATGAGTGAGTTTTGGGATCAGAGCAGAGGGTCAGTCTGCATCCAGTGCTTCTGAAGCAGGCTAAGGGCCGAGCTCGTTGGCTAACAGTGATACAACTAGCAGCCAGAGGAAAATCCCACGAATATCCCAACACAGGCAGAGGTCTCTAACCTGATTAGCTATACCGCTATGCTGGCCTTACACGGCTATGCTAAGAATGCTGTACTTCCATCCAAAGAAAATCCATATCAGAACGTTGGTAGCAGTTGTCTCATGGCTTTAATACCATACCACAAAATTCCCTTGGCTGGTTGCTCATAGCAATGTTTTTGTATTGAAATATCTCATAATATGTTCATTTCATGCATGGTTACAAAAACGGCTATTTCTTTGTGTGGGATGACACATATTTAGCAGATCCACCTTATACTGAATATCCACGGCTTTCTTTTTCCTTGTTTAGCTCAACCTATGTGATCTTCAGACAGCTGTAATTACATACTTAAGTGCATTATTACCAAATACATGGGCACTTTACTCTGGGTTGTTACATCAAATGTCTGTGCCTTTGATTCTTGATTATAGTATGTGGGAGCTTCAAAGGAGCAAATTACAGAAAAGTCACTAAGGCAGCAGTTTGATGCCCAGCCATGGCAGTCTGAGCTGCAGTTGATCAGACCACTGGAAGCAGTTCAGTGTCTCTCACATGGTGATAACACAACTGCACACCCGTATCGCAGATCTTCACTGGCATCTCACAGCATGCCTCTCAGTTGGGTCTGGCTTGTTCAAATCGCGCTCAATAAACTGGTGGCCTTCCCTTATCAGCCTCCCATCTGCTACCAATAAGCAAAGCCAACCCTGATCTCTCTGATGTTCACTGCTGCATTGAGAGCTCTGAAGACCCTTGACTGGTCTCAGATACTGTCATAGCAGCATCTTGCTGTTGACATACCTTTCACTCTGGGCCACGTTTTCAGGTGCTTTTTTTCAGAGAAACCTATGAACTGAATAAGTTCTTAGGTATGTTGGTAACATTATATAATAGTTTGTTTTTAAATCCTTTTATTGTGAAAGGCAAGGGTCCTACAAATGTATGCTGACCCTGGCATGCTGACATCTGGACTGTTCCACTGTGGGGGCTCTTTAGGGGAGCTGCAGAGGGCTCCGTGAGCCGGTGGCATAGTGCCGAGTGAGCTGATGGCACGAAATTCATGGGGTTGGTGTCAGCTGTCCCCACTGAACCCCTTGCAACCTGCCAGTAATGCACACTCCCTACTACAAATCTTCAGCTGAAGGTTACAGATGATGAGGGTATGTAGGACGCTGTGTCTACATTCTTCTTGGCACAGAGAAGTACTCTGACAAGCCAAGCCAGGAGGGAAAATGATGAAGAAGTAGTTTAATTAGGAGCAAGCCTCAGAAGGGGCTAGGCAGAGGGTGAATGAGTCGAGGCTGTTTTTTTTCTCCCTCCGTCTCTTTTCCCTCCTCTTTCCACAAAGCACCTTTGAGACATCCAGTCCTCTTCTTTCCCGAGCTGACTGCTCTTTGTCAATAACATTTGGACTTCTGGATCTTTTAGTCACCCATGCAATTAGCATGACAGCATAGCATGTTCAACTTCCTGCTTTCCTGTTGTTAGCTATTTTAAGATGAACAAGTTGAATGCTCATTCCTAGGTCAAAATGCATTTTATAAAATCATTTGTGAAATTAGATGCTTTCTCATAAGTTTTCATTTTCCTGACCTCTATTCAGTATCATTTTATTACGCATTTAACTTTGTTGAGGGTTTGATTGGTATTTTTTTTCTCGTCCGTGTCGCCGCTCTTGCCTTCGAGCCTCGACATCGGAGGACGTGAGAGAGCAGCTTCTGACTGAAGGTGAAGAGGTGGTGCGGGTAGTCAGTGTGTCGCAGATGGCAGCACACACAGGGTGGGGAGGGGCCAGGCCCGGGCTGTACATTGAGCGAGAGGGCCATCTATGGCTATCCCCAGAAGCCGAGTCACGCGACCGGCTGCCTCCGGCCCCCTTGTCCCTGGCGGCGGGGCAGACGACAGGTGCAGGCACACTGACAGGTGCGGATGTCTTGAATGAGTGGAATTGCCGCCGGCTAGCGATGTGGCCCCATGCTGGGTCGTAAAGTGCTGAGGCCCAGCGGAAAGTCAAGCTAAGCCGCATGCCTTCCCATCACTCGAAGCCTCGCACTTTCCAACGCGACGCTTCCCGTGAAGATTTCAACTCCAACCACTCTCAGCTCCTTGCCAAGGCGCTACCACCTACTATCAGAACCTTCCGGAGAGCTTTTTGAAAGGTTGCCATCTCCGAGGAGCACTATTATTTGGCAGTTATGATGACTTTACCATAGAAATCGCTTCTCTTGCACTGTTTCTAAATCACCAATACGGAGTTCAAAAGCGCCAGTCTCCCGGCCATGTTTGGTTGCTTGTTTAGCGTTTTTTGTGGGGAGGTGCGGGGTGTGAGATTGTTAACTGTGTTTTTTCGAAAAGCTGAAATGCTTTTCTACCCTTTCTCCATCCATGGCTAAAAGAGCAAATGACAAAAATAAATGATTTGCTTCCTAAAACCCTTCCAAAAAATGTGTATATAATGTATAAAGCATAATTTTACAGAAGATAAAATGTTTAAGTTGCCGCAAATAAAAAAAGCAGGTGAAAACCACTTGCATTTATCACAATTATTAATGTGAGAATGTTACGCAAATGAGAAGATGACAACAGCGTGAGACTAACCTGACTGCATTCTCTCATTCATTTCATATCAAATTTTAGCTGCCTCAAAGTAAATTTAATTACTGTCATCTGATGAAAGCAGATAGCTTTCTTAGAGGCAATCACTGAGTAGACAGTTAGTAGGCCTTTTATTATTCCCTTCCACTAATCTTCTTTTATTAAAACCACTGGATCTGAAAGAGCGAGCTTTGATGGGACATAGTCTGTGTCTGCCACGCAAAGTCAATTTGAGTAGTCTATGTCCATACACAGATGAGAAAATAACTTAGGAGCCTGCTGAATTGCGTTTCAGAACGGGTTAAAACATATATTATATATTATATGGATGGATATATATCCACCCATGTTTTGTAACTGATTGTCATAGTCTAATAGTTCTTATATATATATATATATACACACACACACTAACTGTATATCCCGATGCCTCCCCAGCCTACAGAGGAGGATTTCTACTAGAAGGTGGCCATCAGGTGGCTGAATGGGAAATTGCTCATTTTCTTTCCATGACATGGGCTCCATACAGCCAACCATCTCATCTTTATTCATATACATATCACCACTAAATGTTTTATCGCAATACGCAATGTTTCAATTGGGGAGTTGCCAGGCTGATATAATGTGCGTAAATTTGTTGATTTTCGGCTGGCTTTTCGGAGCACGTTTTAAAGGATAAAGTTTGTGACGTGTCCCTGCCATAAGACATACGCCTCAGCTGCATGCGATTACTTTGTCCACAGACCTTGAGAAAAAAGGGCTTAAATGGCTGCGACAGTCCCGATCCCGATGCTGACGACTCTCTGGGCCACAGCCCTGAGTCCGAGGACAAGTACAGGAAAATTAATGAAGACATTGATCTGATGATCAGCAGGCAGAGACTGTGTGTAAGTATGCCTGAGCCCCGTCTCACACCTCTCCCTCTTCTCTCTGTCTCGTTTTTCTTTTCTGAAATTGTCCGGGGGGAACCTGACAGGCGTTGAGCAAGAAGGAAAACAAAGGTTGTGAAAGCCCAGAGCTCGACTCCTCTTTCGCTCTCACCCCACGCACTGAGGAGAAATACAAACAGATTAATGAAGAGTTTGATAATATGATCAAGACTCATAAAATACCTGTAAGTACCTGTAAGTCATGGCAGTTGGCTGCTTTAGTCGCTACAGTAACCTTTTTAACCCTTTTGGTGTGGACCCATCAGCTTGCAAATTAACTTGGAATCCCAATGATATTTTCCCACTTACAAAAAAGGACGACTAGTTCAACGTACCATTGTCCCCAAATCAGGATGAGAATTATTTGGATTGAATTTAATTAAATTTGTTGCTGATATAAAATTACGAAGACCGCATAATTCATAAAGTGAAAAAGCAACATGATATTGCAAATATAAGCCGAAAAAAAATCTTAAATCCTTGTCACACTGATAACGATGACATCAGCCATACTGACGGGGTTAAAACTCAATTTTCTGTGGAAGAGATTTCTCTTATTTTACCCCAAGGAAGGAGGTGTTCCACGATTGCCATCCACCTCTAAACTGTGTCTTGCCCTTTCTCCTCATTTTCTTAACAGCTACCTTAACGACACGAGCTTCTAACCAGCTATGTCTAATGCCAGCACATCGCACAAGAAATCACGCCTGCATGCGCTTGCACACGGCCTCCGTGCTCAGCTCACCGATATGAAAAAAAGAACAGACACGCATCATTCCATTCTCCATCCATCTAGTCACTGTGACCATCTGCTTCATTTGAATCTTAATTATAGCTCATTTTAACAAAATCACGATAGGAATTGAGTTGTGTCAACCCCTTACTTACTTACTTTTTTACAGCACATGAGTGAACCATACAGAAAAATGGCAGTTTATAGGAAATGCTTCTGTGCTGTTTTACACATAATTGTGTAAAAACTTCAGAAATCATTGTTATCTGTATACAGGTCAACTAAGAAGAAAAAAAATCTGTATTCAAAAAAAGGAAAATAACACCCAGAGGATGGATTGTAGGTTTGATAATGAGAAGGAGAGACTCAGGAAGAGAGGGGTGGGGTCTGGGGGAAAATGGCAGCGGTTACAGTGACTGTGCACATACAAGTGGCAGTTCAGAGTGTGGTCACCGTGGTTACCAAGTACAGGGCCAGCAGATTTTGAGGATGGAGAGGATCAGCACAAACAGGAAGGATGGCACCGTCAAAATCAGCCCAACACCCACGCAGCCATACACCCAGAGGCGTGGTACGGCCATCTCCTGTTCTCTCTTCCCGCTCAACCACAAAGCAGAGAGTAGCAAGCGGGAGGAAGGGGGCTGCAGACAACCAACATGTAAGATGTTATTAAAAAAGGAAGCACTTGCCAGGCAGCAATTAAAGAGAGCTGCTGCACAACTGTGACTGGTAGATAGCTTCTCAAACAAAGACAAGGGATGTAACAAAAAAAATGTAACAAAAAAATAAATATATATATATATATAGGGGTATGTTAAGCCATAACACACAGACCTATGGCTGGTACACTTAGAAACAATATTTGCTCTGCTAAAGAAAAATAATAGACTACTGCTTTTTAGATATTAAAGAGGGGTCGGATCTTTCTGCTGGGTGTTCTTAAATGGATATTTTCATGACTGTAGAACACATGGTAGCGATTACAGGGCTACCTGTCCTTTCCAAGGATAACACTGATTAAGGACAACCTCTATTGTGTTCCTGTTTTAAGCCAGTGTGAGAGTGGCCAATAAATGAAAACTAGCTTCGTTTGAACACAGGGCTATTAAAGACCGGGTCAGTCGGCTCTTCTCGGACATCATACCTGGTTTCAGACATTTACTTTCTTGAGCATCATCCCACCGCCCAAGAGTAAACATGGACACAGACATGGTATAGCTAATTTAAGATTTATGTAGGAAGAAAAAGCATTCATAAGTGGTTAGTGCCCACTGGAAGAACAAGGCTCCTTTTAGAGTGGAATTTCTTGCGGCAGTACCTACAGTCCATTTTAGGAGTGGCATGCACAAATACATTCTGAAGCCCTGTCTCTCTGTCTGCCGAAGGGCCCTGACCACAGCATCAAGCTGACGCCTTACTGACAGTGCTGCCGTTTAAAATTTGTGCTAAAGTTATGAAATGAAGGCGATGAAGCTCGTGGCAGAACATGGAGTGACTGTACCTGGACATTTGTTGGGGTTCAGCTTTTGCTGCTGTTACTGACCTTGAGATATTAAGAAAAGTGCACTGGCTATCACATCACCAACACCATTGTATATGCAATATTTCTTGAGGCCGCTTATAGGTTAAACCTCATTGAATGGGTTAATTTGATCTATTGCTGCATTTCTTTATGTTTTTCTCCCTTCCTATACCTCCTCCAGCAGACTGTCCCCCCTTCAAACTACGAAATGCCGGTCTCCATTCCAGTGAGTAACCCCAACAGCCTGATCTACAGCCATCAAGGTGGCTCGCTCGGCAACCACAACCTCCTGCCCTTGACCCACCACTCACTGCAACGGAATAGCATGTCACCGGGAGTCACGCACCGGCCACCCAGTGCAGGAAGCACAGGTAACGCTACTGCTGCTGCTCTGAGCATGTCGCAACAAACATACTGTAAGTCAGCTAGCTCAACTGGGTGTTACAATGACTCTCCCTGCAAGACACTCCTCCTTGCCGGGTCCACAAAACCGCCGTCACCTATACGACACTGATCTCTGTTTGCCCACAACTTCAGGTTTTAAAACTACCTCTGCGAAATTGCTCATGCACTGCACTTTATACAAAATCATAACCATTCATGAGTATGATTATATTGCACTAATTTACCAACACCTTATTCACTGTGAATGTGTGTATATGTGTGTGTGTGTACATATTTTATTCTTTAGATTTTATTGTAATTTTTTACTGTGTATCTGCTGGCGCGCTCCAAACGAAATCTCATTGTACTCGTACAATGACAATACAGCATCTTTATCTTATCCTTCTCTATATAAATTAGATCAAGTTTTCACCAATACGTCACACCCCACTTTAAAAATATTTTCAACAGTGATCCTTCACAATCCTTTACCACAAACAAGCACTTTTACTGTATGTCTCCGTTGGAGTTCTTTTTTTCTTCATAGAATATTTGCTTTACAGAATATGTATATTATTTTAGTGTTACTAAAATGTTTTTATTGTCTAAATGCTGTAGTTTCCTTCTGGTGAGTTGAGTGCTCTTTGATTATCTTTGGCTTACAAATGCAACTTGCTTGGTATTACAGGGGCAAAATTAAATATGATCTTTGGCCAAACAAGCAATATACAAACCACAGAGACTGACTTTAAAAATATCTAATTTTTCATAGACTATGTTGTCAACTTGCTGAACTAAATCTACCCAGTAGTAGATTTCCTATCTTTCTCACTCATCAGAATATTATTGAGTGACAGAAGACTTATTAATATGATTAGGTTAGGCTTGTCGTAACATGGGGGATTGTACTGGAGGGGGTTGAAACTATACTTGTGATGAAAAAACCAAGGGAGGAGGAAAATCCCTCAAGATCTTTTTCTTTGTTTTTCTCTTTATTCCTAGGTGGCCTTATGGGTGCAGACCTCACAGCTGGTGCAGGCACCAGTGCTGGTATGAATGATTTATCATTTTTATAAATGTGTGTTTTAATGCATATGCTAACCCACTTCATTTATATATGCAGGAAGGGGGAAAAAAACTGCAGAACAGACACGTCACATGTTGTTTTAGTGGCATAAGGAATTCCACAGCGGAAATATATCGTGATCGCCGCGCTCGGATATCCTGCTGAATAGCTGAAGAATTCAGATGGCTAGTAAAAGAAAACAAATTCTATTTAAATTATGAAAAAGTCTCAGGCGTAGGAATTCAGCAGTATCCGTGGTTTTCCTTCTATAGTTGTGTGAGACGTACAAGTTTCCAGTCTCTGGCATTTGGGATGGCAACAGCTTTATAATGTATAATGCTAATTTATAATTATTACTTAATTATTAACTGCGTTTAACTATAATTTTTATGTTGTTTCATATAACTCGAATCACTAATGTTGAGTTCCTTTTACCGCCGTAATTTTGATTTTAATTGCTAATTCATTGACGATATTCTCTCCTGACTCACTAATTCAGCTACCATAATCATAACCTTATCTTGTTAGTTAACAAGGAGGGGGCTCCTGCTTTTTCTCTCATCTGGCTGATCGAATAATTGTCAGACTACAATTATTTGAAAGAGTGAATAACTTAAGATCACGACTCCTTCTTTAGTCAGAAGCCGAGGACGGATGCCAGGGGTCAGCAGCGGATCCTGCTGTCTGAGTCTATATTTCTGTTTTGGGCGTAATTTACATTTGTTGTGGGTTGTGTTTGGCCACTAACATGCTGTGTAGCACACATTAAATGTAGTCTTTGTCTAACCGGGGTGGGAAACAGTGGTACCCCTATGCACCCTGCACCATCAAAACAAAACAAGGATATAGTCATGTAGAACCTTGAAAATTCCATTCGAGCCATTCATAATTATTCAAACAAATGATCTAATGAATTTACCTATTCTTTCTGGGATTGAGTCTTTGCCTTAACTAAGCATTTCAGTACTTAATGTGACAGTTGTCAGATTTATCCTGTTCTGCTCTAATCAGAAATTTATAGTGACATTTTAATTATAACTGTACATTTAGTTATATTTCAAATAATTTCTGGTAATTTGTATTATTCTTCATCTGTATGTATTTTAAATTTCTTTTTTTAAATGCTGTTGAAATTATGATTTAAAATTATGACTGTTTGTGAATAGCTACCACTTATAGTGTGCCATACCTAAAGAATTTATCAGATGTATAAATATCCAGATTTAGAAATGTATGTAGAGTTGTGAGATAGGCAAGACTTTTGTGAGGCATAGTGTACTTTTATTTCTTTCTGAAACTGGACACTTCATTTGCTGTTGCTTCATTTTCATTCCTGGATATGTATATTCCGTAGATTTATTTCAGTGATGACTCACTGGACCTTTGGGCTAGTTTATTTTGGGTCCAGGCATGCTGAGCTCTCAGACACTCTGAGGTGTGGAGCCGTGGCGTTTAATGCTGATTGTCTGCTATATGACACATGATGGCAGTTTGATACTGAAGGAAGGTTCAGCTATATTTCTGGAACGGTGTGACTCCAGAATCCAGACATGTTAGACAAGTGAAGGTCAGCACAGTATAGTCACATCCAAATAACATATATTTTTATCAGGTGGATCATATTAGCTAAATTGTTGTCCAGTAGATCCGTTCCACATGACAGTTGTATAACAGTTTTCAGGCCACTAACATTTTAATATGAGTCCCGAGCTGAACACTTAGGACTCAAGAGGTCGAGTTCATGCTAATCTGATTTATTTTGCACTAGGTTTTACATTTCTAATCAATATATCAGACTCATGATATTTTTAGGGATTTTATTTAACTCTTTCTTTCAGACTACAGTACTGAAAACCAAACACAGTTTTCACTGACTACTACTGTATCTTTGCTTTTACTCTTGTTAGCTTACAGAGTGATGCCTGAAAATCCATAAGCATCCTAAGGACAATCAGTTGTTATGAGTTTTGAATATCTGTGGCAAGGAGCCTTTCTTTTGATTTTGCTGTATTCCACACTGATTATTTAGTTTTGCATCTATCTACAATTATCTGAATGGGGAGCATTGGTAATGTAAGTTATCTTTTTCTGCGAAATTTCTGTGAAATATGCTGAATTATCAAGAACAAGCTGAGACCATCCTTACAGCTGGGAATGAAATATATATATATATATATATATATATATATATATATATATATATATATATATATATATGTGTGTGTTTTGAATGGCTGTTTTGAATTTCCTTAGTGAAATACATTGTCACTAAGTGGCACTGTCAGAGTCAGCCAGCAGCAATGATTGCTGTTGCTTTCAGCTTGTGTTAATTATTCTGCTAGCTGATAGTTTTTTTTTTGGTAATTTATCTCAAATTGTCCTTCTTCTATTGCTGCCTAATACTTTCCTAATTGAACTGCTGTAGGAATAATTCTGTTATCACTGAGATAAATAATCACCATGTTAAGCTCACCAAGGTATCATGCTTGATGCTTTGCAGTTACATTATGGCGGCATTGTGTAAAGGGAAATTCACCCATTGAAAAATAAGTCATATGGGCTGCACAGACAGCATGAGAAACAGGCCTCGGCTGTTTCCTGCCCAAACTCTAGCAGCCCCCCCCCCCCCCTGAGTGATCCCATCAGGATTGATACTGTAAGCATGGCCAAGGTCAGCTCTTGCCACTAAAGTGTCCTGCAGCCATATATTAATACTGGGCTAAAAGCTATGAGTGGCTCTAAAAATACCGTGGCAGGTTTTCTTTTGGATTGGTGGCAAATAATTATTGCCGGTGGTTTCGGCGTATCTCCCTCTGTTCTTGTATATTTCTGCATCTGCCAGTGATTTCCTAACATCCTGGGCTGCATGGCACACCGGTTAATTTAGGAAACCACTGCCTGCTGCTTGAACTAGTCAGCAAAGAGCAGATTAATCAATTACAGTTGTTTTATAAACTTATATTATCCTAACACTAATCACATAACTTAAGTTACCAGCTGACCAGTGAAAGAAGTTATTTAAAACTGAGCATGTAAACTGTATGTCATATTTATAATGGAATAGCCATGTCATGTCAAACTACCTGATAGTTTTTCTCCATTTCCCCAGATATAGTGAGTAGGACTGTCTGTGATATATATTGTGCTATAATGAAGATGTGTGAGAAATAGCCACCTAATCAAACACTATCTATTGTACCATATATTGTCATGGCCACATCTTCGAGAACCGTCAGCTTTGACGGTCTCAATTCAAAATACAAAACACATCTAATCTATATAAGACATTATATCCAACAACTTCACAAAAAGGAAAATAAAAGTCTTTACTGACTCATGACAAAAATTTATTTAGATTTGCAGATTCTAAGTGATTGTGATAATAACTGCCAGGATGAGTAAATGAAACTTGTTTCTTTGAGTAGGATCTGACTTTGGTTAGGTCTGGGCTGAAGAAAATGTTGATGATCTCAGAAATTCCTTTGTAGGTGATCTTGTTTATGAATCCTATGTGTCCAACCTTAGTCACATTGTCTGACTGAGATGAATTGTCTGACAGATTTTACCATTCAATTAAGAATGTATGCTGTTAGAATATGCAGATATTCTTGCTGTCAAAAGTATGTTTTATTTGGAAATTCTGAGAATAATTTAAAGTTAGGATGCATATAAATAAGAATGGTTTCATATGTATTTTTACAATTCTTTTTATGTTTCATTGCTTTTTAAAATTTCCAATAATTTCAGTTTCCATAGCTGTTTTGCAACTGGTAGAACTAACATCCTTTTCTCCCGCTATTGGTAACTGCCAAATGTGGAAACCAGAAAGTTCTCTAACTTCATGTACTGGCACGATCAATAAATCAAGTACCAAATGTATTACATATTATGTAAGTGAAAGGGTCCTTTTAATAATAAGTTAAAAATCCTATGGGCAGGATTACAAACCTTCTTGTAGCAGTTCTTGTAACATACCGTGCTCTGTGTGTGTGTGTGTGTGTGTGTGTGTGTGTGTGTGTGTGTGCGTGTGTAAATAAATATATATAATATAGGGAGAGAGATGTGTTTTAGTATATTTATATCTATTTGACCCAGTTGAGTAATAAAACTGCAGCACTGTTTATGCATTATGCCATTTATAAAGTGGTGTGTATCTTCGTTCCTATGTAACTTTGTTAATGTATAAAGTTGCATAGGCCGCTACAGTTCTCACACAGATTACTATAGTGCCCCCTGCTGGAGTTCTGATAAACAAATATACAGTATACAAATTTGACAGAGATGCAAGAATTGGAGGCCAATTATCATTTAAAAAAAAACCACCAAACTCCCTTTTTTCATTCATCTATGAAATCTTCAAAACAATAATAATTCTTCTTTGTCTTTAAGAGCTTCTGCTGCAGCTGCACAAGCTTGTCATGACTGAGCCAGTCAATTCGGTGTCGCCAGGAAATGCTTCAGCACAAAAGACTCGCTCACATATATGTTTTTCTCCATTATGAAGTACCACTTCATTTGCTGCCAGCTGTGCCATATGTTCTTTTGATAGAACAAATTGTGCCTTCAAGACTTTCATTTTAAAAACAAAACCATGCCTTAAAATTTTACAAAGATCTCCAGTGAATTTGGAGACATCTGTGACTCATTCTCTGGCGGTATATGATTAGGACATTCATATATGTCTAACATATAATTCTCGCCCCTCTTTTAAGTGGGAAAGGCATTATGGCACTTTGCATTCTGCTCAAGGAAAATTTAAGTGTTACTTATGCAAAAGAAATGAAAATGTGCAGTCTCTTCTTTTCATTGCTGAAGAAATACAGCGCTTCTCTGCTTTTCACTGAGATCAAGTTGGTTGAGAGTCAACAAGACAGGGAGTTTGTGTCTTGATTTCATGCATGGTCTTTGTTGCCTTAATACCAGTAATTACTTACATGTGCTTGATATTGCTTTAAGAATGGTTGGCTCGTCCAACCATGGTTGAGAACTCTTTGATTTATCGTTTACACAGCTTGCTTTCTGGATTTGGAAGATGTGACTTTAACTATTTTTATGAAAGGAAAAATAAAATATATTGAAATCATTTCAAAGCAGTGTAACCTGGTTAACCAGCAGGTCAGCTATATCATAGCTATTAGACTAAATCACCCACCTGCTGTTGGTAGATGGGTGGCATATGCTTACTCATCTAGAGAACCGGGGTGTATTGATGGTGCAGTAGAAAAGTCATTATAAATACTTTTGATTCCCTTTTTCTGTTTTCATTGTTACAATAGTCCTTACCCCTTTCTGTATAATTCTTTTGCAGGCTTTCTTTGAAGGATGAGTAATGCTATGATTATTATGTTTATATACAGACGCTCCTCTACTTACGAATGAGTTCCATTCCGAACGGCCGTTCATAATTTGAAATGTTCGTAAGTCAACATCATTTTAAGGGTATACGCAAGTACAAAGAAGTAGGATGCTGGGAGTACGCACGCTACGCTGCTGTGCGGCAGGAGTAGCGGCCAGAAGTCCTACTACCCAGAATTGGTGCGCAGAAAAAAAACATTTGATGTTGCCGACAGGAAAACATGAGAGCCCAGTGAACACAATTTGAACTTACAATCCTCTTCGTTCGTATGTCTGAAAGTTCGTAAGTTGAATGTTCGCAAGTAGAGGAGCGTCTGTATATATATATATATATATACTGTATATATATATGTATATATATATATATATATATATATATATATATATATATATATATATATATACACACACACACACACACAGTAAAATAGTGGATAAAAGGCAGACAGATAATCAATAGTATAAATATTTTTTTTATATGTATGTACAGTATGTGTGTTTGTGTGTGTGTGTATAAAGTGTGCATAAAGTTCATATATATTGTATGTAAGTTTAACAAGTGTGTGACCCTTTTGGTACATTGAAAGGTTTTCCAAAAGAGGCTTGTAAAGATATAAACGTCTGTAGCAGGCTTTAAAAAAGAAAACTGCTTTTTGACCTCAAAGCCACAAGAGGAACTTGTGAGACTGATCATTTGACTTTTTCTAAAGATATCATATGAGATATGAGGCCCAACCTCAATCTGGAAGACCATAGCATACCGCAGCACATGTACATTACCACTGTAGCTTGCTTTTTTAGTCAGAGAAAGAGCAGTAGTTTTTTTATCATTTTTCTATTAATTGTTAATTTTCTCAATTTGATGCATTTGAATGCAGAAATTAGGCCTTATCAAGTAAGCTTTGCTGGTTTTTGACATCTGTCAGAATTCTAAGCTATGGTTGTTGTTATTGTTACATATTGTGTGCAATGTATAGTATTTGTTTTTATATGTGTTCTTTTTTAAATTAACATATTTTAAATCTAAACAAAACAAACTCATACAGTTTTTCATCCATAAAATGCTTTTACAATGTGGAATATCTTGAGTATTTAGTAAGCAAAAAATTTAATTACAGTTTCAGAAACTTTACTGGGTAACTGGAAACTTAAGATTTGCTACTAAGATAATTTTTAATTTAATAATTTTTGGAATACTGGGAAAATTGGAAAGATAGTCAGAATAGTCTTGCACCATGTTTTTGATCAGTGGGAAAATATAAGTTAATTGTAGCTACAGATAATAACGTAAGTAATGGGGGTTGCGTGATTATCTATGACGAGGTGCAACGCTAGCATTAAACATGGCCACAGTGTTTGTTTGCTAGCATTACTATCACTTTTCCCCACTGAACAGATATAGCCTGCTAGTACTAGACTTTCTGTGAGAGTTTTCCACCAGTAAGTGACCTGCGGGTGCTCCTCTTCCCCTCCAGGCAATGGTTATGGAAACCACCGCAACTCCCCCGGTCTGCTGGTCTCTCCAGGGAACATGAACAAAAGCATGCAGACCAAGTCCCCCCCGCCCATGAACCTGGGAATGAACAACCGCAAGCCTGACCTACGCGTGCTGATCCCTCCAGGCTCCAAAAACACCATGCCCTCCATAGTGAGTCATACTCCATCATCTACTCCAACAGCCTTCAGCAGCCTCCCATAAACCTCCCTCCCAATTTCCATCCACTGATCTCCAATCAGGAACTGATCACTGGACAGGTTATCTTTTTTGTTTGGTTGCCTAACGGTGGCTGTAGTTATATTTGTGAGTTTGTCTGTAATACAATAACATAGTTTTCAGAAACCCACCACATAACACATAACCAGCGACTTACTGCCATTACATATAATGTACTACACCTATGTACAGTTTTTAGAAATACCTGATTCTGAAAACTACTCACTTCCCTCCACAAGGCATCCATGACACTAATTCAAATTTATTGACCCCCCCTCCCCTCTTTATGCCACCAGTCTGAGGATGTTGATCTACTGTTGGTAAGTGGGTCTCTCCTTGAATAAAGAAATAAAATAAACGGTGGCAAAAATACCATTCTTTGTTCGGCTGTTCAGATTGTTAAGAGCCCTACAATAGGCCTACATTAACATCTCTTGATCTGCTGCATGCGATTCACATCTGGATGACATTGAGAACTTTTTAAGAATCAAGGGTGACACCTACTGGCACTTAGAAGTAAACGTGTAGTTTGACGGTCTCAACGTTGATTTTCCTTTAAAGATTATCACATGCATTTTATCCCACTTTAAATATATGATTCTGTGTCAGATTGTTTTCTTAAATGCTTAGAATTTATTCAAAGCCAGAATAACGGTACTGAAACAAAAGATTTGTATTGCTCAAAATTTCCAGTATGTGTACTCACTGCCACAACAAAGGGGCCGCGTTCTTCCTGCTGATTCTGTTACCTAGGAGACCATACTTTAAGGGTTACTATAGTGACGGCAAGACTTCAGAAGCTTTGTAAACGATAGGGTTGGCAGTACAGTGGAGCTGAATGTGAAATGATTAATTTGAGATATCTGGTTGATTTTTCTAGGAAATGTGAAAGAGAAGATATATTATAGCACACTTAATGAAATTATGATATACATGTTCTTGTTTTTATTATCACAGAACCAGAGAATAAACAACTCACAGTCAGCACAATCACTGGCTACCCCTGTGGTATCCGTAGCAACACCCACTTTACCAGGACAAGGAATGGGAGGCTACCCATCAGCAGTATCCACTACGTATGGTACTGGTAGGTACAATAGTTCATAATCAGTACACAATGCACAAATTCTCAACCTTGTCTGTAGCCAGAAAAATGTCTGGCTCTATCAGTAAGCTGAGTACTCTAAAGCTATAAATGAATCAAAAATGCCTATTTAAGTCTGGTTTATGTTGCAAGTAGTTATAATCTGAAAAACATCATTTAGCCTATGTTTTTAGTGGCAACAAGACGAGAATGCAGGGGATTGTCAATAAGATCCCTTTCAAATCAAATAATTGTCCCAGGTGTTGAATGACAATTAATGCCATGTCATTCACTGTGAGTGTTTTATGCTAATTATTTAGCGAGCAATTTTGGGTAATCATTTATGAGTTAGTTAATGGATTGTTAATAAAGGAGTACATACTATTAATTAAAAAGTACATTTGTAAAGTATCACTTATTGAATTATTAAATTATTATTGAATTATTAAATTACGGTGCGACTGCAAAGCACAGTTAAGCTTCAAAAGTTGTTTGTCAACTATAATAACTAATGGAACATGCAGCTGTTATGCTGAAATCACAATTCATCTGAAAGAAAAAATTATCACCAGTGAAACAATTATGAAGTGAGGAGGAGATTAATAATGGGTGGATGACGAAGAGTATGTTGCTTTTTCTGTTTAGAATACTCCCTCAGCAGTGCAGACTTGTCGTCGCTGTCAGGCTTCAACAGTGCCAACACCCTGCACCTGGGCTCCATGACAGGCTGGCAGCAGCAACACCTGCAGAATATGCAGCACTCTGCGCTAAGCCAGCTGGGGTGAGTGCAGGCTAAGGGTCCCGCTCACACACCAACACCTGCAGAATATGCAGCACTCCGCGCTAAGCCAGCTGGGGTGAGTGCAGGCTAAGGGTCCCGCTC